CACTGTTTTTAACTTGCTTCAGAACACTATCTCTTTCTGATATTATGTTTTTTAAAAAATATAATATTTTAACCTCTCTTTATTCATTTGAATATAACCCTAGAATACTTTGAATCTTACCTGTTTTATTAACATGCCTGGAACAGTGCCTGAAAATTGGAAGCACTTAGTAAATACAGTATTAGCTAAATGGCTGACTAATTCAGTGCATGAATATAGAAATGATTTAGTTAATTCTAACCGGGCTTTCTCCTTTCTTGCTTTTCTCATTCTATTATTCCATCTAGCAAACCATGTGCTGACTTAAGAACTTCCTCATGGAAGCTTTCACTTCCTGGTTGCGAAGAGTATAAATTACAGGGTTCATCAAAGGGAAGATGACTGTGTGGAAAAGAGAAACCACTTTGTCAGCTGGGAAAGCCTGGAAGGGGCGAGTATAGATGAAAATGGCAGGTCCAAACATAAGAAACACAACGATAATATGGGTAGTGCATATGGAGAAAGCCTTGTTCTTTCTTTCAGAGGAGTGCCCTCTAACTCGGCAGAGAATGACCACATAGGAGGCCAAAAGCCCCAGGAAGCACAGGAGTGTGAGCAGGCCACTGTTGGAGACCATCAGAAGCTCCACCACAAAGGTGTCAGTGCAGGCCAGCTTGATGACCTGTGGGACATCACAGAAGAAGTTATCCAGCTGGTTTGGGCCACAGAAAGGCAAGTGCAGGATAAGTGCTACTTGTACAATGGAATGGGTAAATCCTCCAAGCCACAGAGCCAGCAACAATGCATAGCAGGCTCTAGGGTTGATGACAGCTGAATAGTGTAAAGGCCGGCAGATGGNGTCAATCTCTGGCTTAACACTGTTTTTAACTTGCTTCAGAACACTATCTCTTTCTGATATTGTTTTTTAAAACATGTAATAGTTTAGCCTCTCTTTATCCATTTGAATATAACCCTAGAATACTTTGAATCTTACCTGTTTTAGTAACATGCCTGGAACTGTGCCTGAAAATTGGAAGCGCTTAGTAAATACAGTATTTGCTAAATGGCTGACTGATTCAGTGCATGAATATAGAAATGATTTTGTTAATTCTAACTGGGCTTTCTCCTTTCTTGCTTTTCTCCTTCTATTATTCCATTTAGCAAACCATGTGCCGACTCAAGAACTTCCTCATGGAAGCTTTCACTTCCTGGTTGCGAAGCGTATAAATTACAGGGTTCATCAAAGGGAAGATGACTGTGTGGAAGAGAGAAACCACTTTGTCAGCTGGGAAAGCCTGGAAGGGGCGAGTATAGATGA